TATTTTCTTTTCTTGAACTAATAATGGAATATCCTGCTTTTGGATCAGCTGCAAAATACAACCAACTTCTGTAATTGCTGAAATTTATATGATAGTGCTAGTTTACAGTAGGGGTTTCACACTTTCAAAAGCAATGGAATCCTTTCATATCACTTCTGCTGCATAACCCCTACTGCCAGCCAAGGAGCCAGGTGACTTGGCCCAGCAATGGCAATGTACTGCCCTCAGCTGGCGCTGCCATTACTCCCAAACTTTTTGCAGAATCCCAGGGTTTCACGGAATACTTTGAAAACTACCAGCACTCGTACACGTGACAGGGGTTTAGTCCCCTAAACAGAAATGGTGGGTTTTTAATTGTCACAATTAAAAACCCAAGATATTCAATTTCAATTTAGGGGCTCCTGTCACTGTTACGGCGAGGGTTCATAGTTTCATAGTAGGTAGGGTCGGAAGGGACCTGAGCAGATCATCAAGTCTGACCCCCTGCCATGACAGGAAAGCATGCTGGGGTCAAACGACCCCGGCTAAGTGATTATCTAGCCTCCTTTTGAAGACCCCCAGGGTACCAGCGAGCACCACTTCCCTTGGTAGTTGGTTCCAGATCCTAGCGGCCCTGACAGTAAAGTAGCGTCTCCTGATATCTAGCCTGAATCTAGTCTCGGTCAACTTATGGCCATCATTCCTCGTTACTCCTGGTAGTGCTCAGGGGAACAGGGACTCTCCCATAGCCTGCTGGTCCCACTCGGCCAGTTTGTAGACGGCCACCAGATCCCCTCTCAGCCTTCTCTTGCGGAGGCTGAACAGGTTCAGGTCTCGTAGCCTCCACTTGTAGGGCCTGCCTTGCTGCCCCCGATCATGCGAATGGCCCCCCTCTGGACCCTCTTGATGCTGTCCACATCCCTCCTGAAGTGCAGTGCCCAGAACTGGATGCAGTACTCCAACTGCAGCCCGACCAGTGTCGCATAGAGGGGGAGGATCACCTCCTTGGACCTGCTCGTGATGCATCTGTGCGGTTAGCCTTCCTGACTGCGTCCCCACATTGGCAGCCCATGTTCATTTTGGAATCAATGATGACATCAAGATCCTTTTCTGCCTGTGCTGACTAGAAGGGAGTTCCCCAGCCTGTAGGTATGGTGCTGGTTCTTCCTCCCCAGGTGCAGTACCTGCATTTGTCAATATTGAATCCCATCCTGTTCTCATCCGCCCACCCCTGTAACCTGTCTAGATCTAGTTGCAGCCTGTCCCTCTCCTCCAGCGTGCCCACTTCTCCTCACATTTTAGTGTCATCTGCAAATTTGAACAAGGTGCTTTTCACCCCCTTGTCCAAGTCGCTGATGAAGGTATTGAACAGTGCAGGCCCGAAGACCGTGCCTTGGGGGACCCCACTGCCCATATCCCTCCAGGTCGAAAAAGACCCATTCACCACCACTCTGGGTGTGGCCCTCCAGCCAATTTGAGACTCATCTGACTGTGTAGGCAATGCCACAGTCGCCTAACTTCTTAATGAGAATGGGGTGAGAGATAGTGTCGAAGGCCTTCCTAAAGTCCAGAAAGACTACGTCCACCGTGACACCTGCGTCCAAGGATTTTGTGACCTGGTCGTAGAAGACCACCAGGTTGGTCTGACAAGACCTGCCTCGAATGAACCCATGTTGGTTACCCCTAAGCATGATCTCCCCTGCTGGTCCCTCATAGATGTGCTCCTGGATAATTTTCTCAAAGAGCTTCCCTAGGACCGACGTAAGACTAACGGGCCTGTAGTTTCCTGGTGCCAATACTTTTTTTTTTGGTGAAGCCTGTCCGCCTCTCCTGTGGTCGGGGGGAAAGCTGACAGTGGGCCAAGTAGCCCTTGAACTGCAGGGGGCCTGGTCCTTCCCTCCACAATGGCGGTGCCCCCCAGGGCTGTCCGGGCGTGCTGCTAGTGGGCAGGTGCTGCCCCAGATTGGAGGCACCTGATGCAATGCTTCTTTGAGTCTGCCTGGGCTTCCAGCTCACCATGCACCGTCCCTGCTGCCTTCTCTGGTCCCAGGAGGCAGGAATGGTGCATAGGGCGCTGCTCCTTGGGAGGGTGCAGGGAAGAGTTGGATCTGGCAGGTGTTGCCTCCGCAATAACACCCTCCCTGGGTGGCCCCAGGGGGGTTCTGCCACCATGGAGGGAAGGACCAGGGCCCCCCCCACAGCTCAGAGCCTGCCAGCAGCTCACCCCCCAGCTGCAGGCAGGCTCCGTGAAAAAATAAAAAAGGATCAGGTCCCTTGCTGTTTTCTTTTCCAGCACAGCCTGCCTGTGCAAGCTGCCCCAGTTCATGCAGGAGGCCCCAGTTGGTTCCTCCACAGCAGCGGCACCCCCTGGGCAGGGTGTTAGCAGGCAGTAACGTTAACCGCACCTTGTCATGCATCTACAGATGCATCACAAGCAGGTCCAGGGAGGTGATCCTTCCCCTCTATGTGGCACTGGGCATGTTGCAGTTGGGATACTGTATCCAGTTCTGGGCACCACACTTCAAAAGGGATGCGGCTAACCTTGAGAGGGTCCAGAGGAAGGCCACTCGCCTGGTCAGTGGGCAGCAGGCCAGGCCCTACAAAGATAAGACTAAAGGGCCTGAATCTATTCAGCCTCCACAAGAGAAGCCTGAGTGGGGATCTGGTGGCCGTCTATAAATTCACCAGGGGGGACCAGCAGAAAGTAGATGAGCCTCCGTTCCCCTGGGCACCACCTAGGATAACAAGGAATAATGGCCACAAATTGATTGAGAATAAGTTTAGGCTTGATAACAGGAGACATTACTTTACAGTTAGGGCTGCCAGGCTCTGGAATGGGCTCCCGAGGGTGGTGGTGCTCTCCCCTACCTCGGGGGTTTTCAAGAGGAGGTTGGATAGATATCTGGCTGGGGTATTATGATACCAGCACTTGTTCCTGCCCAGAGCAGGGAGTCAGACTTGATGATCTGTTCAGGTCCCTTCTGGCCCTAGAAACTATGAAACTAGGTGCTGTCCCAGCTCAGAGGCAGTACCTGCAGATCCAACTCTTCCCCGAGCCCAGCTGGGGAGAAGCAATCTGTGTACCATTCCTGTCTCCTTCCCACCACCTGAGACCACCCAGGAACAGGCTGCCTTGCCCCTGGGGCAGCATGGGGAAGTGACAGGAGGGCGGGTGGGTGTGCTGGCAGCTGGAGAAGGTGGCAGGGACGGTGCACAGTGAGCTGGAAGCTGAGAGGCTCGGGGAAGCATCTGATTGGGTGCCTCTGAGGTGGAGCAGCACCTGCCTCCTAGGAGCTTGCCTGGGCAGCCCCAGGGGGCACCACCTCTGCGGAGGGAAGGACCAGAGCCCCCTGCAGTTCAGGGGCTGCTTGGCCTGCCAGCAGCTCACCCCCTGGCCATGGGACAGGTGGTTAGGCTCTGTGGGGTAAAAAAAGAATAAAAAAAGATTGGGTCCCTTGCTCCTTCTGCCTTCAGCCCACCTCTCCTGTAGCAGGGGGATGGGGTGCAGCTGTTAGATTAAAGACTGCAATGTTACAAGTAGCTACCTTGCAAGATGTTGTTTAGTTTGCAACAAACTCATTTAAATTGAAAAAAACCCTTGTTCGTGTGAAGTGTGATGGAATTAAACTGCAAAAACTGGCAATTTTCATCATTCGTACAAGAGCCCCACTGGTTTAGTGCACACCACTTCTAAAGATGAGAAGTCCTCTGTAAAAGAAAAATATTACCATATTTACCTGAATCCAAGATGACTTTGAATTTAAGATTACATGCTCCCCTTAGATTCTATATATGGAAAATTACACATTTGTTAAAATTTTCCATGTATAGAATCTAATTAGAGGAAGATCACCTTAAATGCATCATCACCCCCAAAACTGTGGCAGAGAAAACAGAGGCAGGAGGTGAGGGGCTAGACCTCTGCCCCTTGCCCCCTCTGCTCAACCCCACTCCACGCCTGCTTCCTTGTGACCTGTCCCCTTTGCATCATTTGTTCCTGGCGCCTGTCCCACTTTCACTTGCCCTACTCCCCACATCTCTTGTCCCTTGACTCCCTCATGACGATCCCTGCCTGTGTTGCCTGCCCTCCCAAGCTAGTGTCTGCTTGACCCACACACCACTTGACCACTTCACCTGCCTTTTGCCCTCTCCTGTGACTGTGCCTGCCTGCCTGCTTCCACTTCCCTGTCAGTGCTGGCTCCCCTGCCACCTGTTCCCCACACTTCCTCCTCCCCTTACTGCTTGCACGTCCCTACCACTTAACTTCTGGGCCACTCTGGCTCTGGGACAGTCACTGACAGTGGCTGCAGCCCTGGCCCAGCCAGGCAGCTCTGGGCCAAGTTGGAATCAGGCCTGAAGGAAAACAGCAGTGACAGGGAGGAGAGTGGGGGAATAAGTAGCTGTGGGGGAGAGATTGGGTGGTTGCACAGTCTCCCCTGAGCTCACCTACCTCTACCCCCCACTGCACAGTCTCCCCTGCATAACCTTCCACTGTGAGCTCCCTCACCCACTGAACAAGCCACACCAGCCCAAGGCAGGCAATAACTCTGCTCTGGGCTGGTACCTGAATCTAAAGCAAGGCTTCTTTCCCCCCCATGATGACTGGAGAAACACCTCCCCCAGTCTTGGATTTGAGTAAAAACTGTAAGTTATTTTAGAATGCAGTTCATCTTCTCTTCTAGCTACCCTTAGAAGTAAAAGACCTCTACCTGGCATCTACTCTGTAGAAAGGGCACTCAACCACCTCAATTCATGAAAAGGCTGAGATACAGGATGAGTGATATAAGAGGGTTTTTTAAATTTTATTTTATGACTCAATCTTGGAATAAACACTCCTTCCTCCAATGTTCAGTTGTGAGATACAGATAGTAGACTAGTTACATTTAACAATCCTGTCCCCTAGTTCCTAAAGACAATCACAATAAACTTAGCTGCATTTGTTAAGACTAATTGCTAAGTAAGTTACATTAATCCCAACCTAACCTTTTGAGCATTTCAACTACCATCACATCTGTCTATACCAGAGGTTCTCAAACTGTGGTCTGTGGACCACCACTGGTCCACGAGCTCTATTTAGGTGGTCCGCAGACAGGTTGTGGAACAATCGAGAATATCTGTACTTGTAAGATAAGACTACTGATATTAAAATATGAGTTATGCGCTTTGATCTGTAGAACAAAAAAAAGTTTAAGTGGCCCACTAAGACCCTTAGCAATTTTCAAGTGGTCCGTGAAAAAAAGTTTGAGAACCATTGGTCTATACAAAGCTACTTTTCGGAGCAAATCTTACTGGGCAGCCTTTAAAAAAAGGCTGTCTTTGACCAGCAATTCCAACTCTCTTCAGTATCTCTTGTACAACGTTAGTGTTTTAGAACATGAAACTTGTGATTTGAGATCATTTAAAAATGGTATGATGCAATACAATAGGCAAATAGTACTGGTCTAAAGTCTTAATTTTGCTAAATGAGGGAGGATTTTTATTTTCCTAAAAATGTCATCAGAAAATAAGCATTTCAGTGCTAACAACCATGTAATTAGAGACTGGTTTTATACATGTAACTACAAAAATACTGCTACATGGTATCACACTGTTGCCTTTCTAGCAAAATTTGGGACACTGCAGGTCAATTTCCTGTTTGGAATTGAAGCTGGCAACACAAACAGTCATTTCTTTTTAATTGAAATAAATTTGTTTACAAAAAATACACAAGTCCTGTGCCCTCAAAGATGGTAAAGGACTACACAGTCAACTCCATTCTTGCAGATCTCCAAGCCAAAATAACTACAGTATATCTAATCCTCAGAAGCAACTATGTTGCATCTCTCAATATCCAAGGCTTGACACTAATGTCTCACTCATTCACAGACTCTGCCCATTTTTCTCCCTCTGCCTCTGCACTTTCCATCTGGGAAACCGTATGATTGCTAAGCAAAATCATATGACCTACAGAGGTGAGATAAGGCAGCTATGCATGTCAAGTGTTATTGCTTTGCCTAAAATATCAGGAGGAGAAATAAAGTTTAACCGTATTTAATGCTCCAAAGCACTGACACATATAGGCTGCAGTGGAAACTATGTATAAAATAACACATTATAAGGCTGTAGTAAAACCAAAATATATTTTTCTTGATGCATGTTTAGCAGTCATTTTCACATTACCTTAGAATTTACTCAAGTGAGGATTAAGTATCCAAAAAAGAATCATCATGCTGTCTTCGACAGGAAGACAAAAAGGCAAATAAAATGAGAACAAAAATCTTCAGCTTTCTGCTTATACCACCTTTCAAACCTGGTTGCCTTAATGGAGAGTGGTAGAGTTGGAAGCCACAATCTGGACCAATGAAATCAGTGGGAGTTCCAGGATCAAAATGTAGCAGGAACAAGTCCTATCAACATTAATATGCCTCAAAGGACACAGTGCTCTATCAAGTATGAATTATGGATCTGTCAACAGCAGGCTCCAAAGGAAGTTATTTATGTCTCTGACATTTTGAGGTTTGTGTGTTATCAGGACCCTGGCTGGGAAGAATGAGTTTATGAAAATCATGCCCTTGTGTATCATTTACCTATTTTTTTAACTTAAAAAAGATAATACTAATCATACAACTCAAAAGACCTGTATAAACACTAATTTCCAACACTTCTGTGGTCCACATCAATTTAGACCTATTACACAGTGGGGCCCCAACACAGGGAAACTTACGCTCTACAACCATACTGCAACCTGATGTCAAAATTATTATTAGAACATATGAACTCCTGTCTTAAATCTACACAAATTATACTCTTTTAAAATATAAAAAAAATAGAAAAGATGCATCTGAAAACGTTACAGTACCTTTTACTTTGTCCAAAGTCATCACCTTCTGACATTTCAAAAATTTAAAAAAAAAACAACCACCAAACTCATTAATCCAGGCAAAGCTTTTCTATTTTACTTTTCTTTCTTAAGAAAAGGATAATCCAGGACTCTGCTCTGTGTGCTTTTTGCTCAGAGCGGGTGTGTTTACACATATCCTAAGCTTCTGCTTGTCTTGAATGAAGTTCACTGTGCTCTATTTCGATTGGCTAGTTCTATAAATAAACAAGTCACATTTTACTCCAGGCACTATGACAGGCACTTTGGCAGCAAGCACAGTTCAAAAGCCAAACATTTTTTTCCATGGTCATGTGAGAAAGAATCAGAACCCAGTTATTAATTTTTATGTGCCTGCCTTACAAGTTCTTCCCTTTAGTCAGCACCTTTTATTATTATATTTGCTGGCTGTGTTAGCCATGCAGTTGGTAGGCATTGCAATACTGTTGCTATTTTCCCTCTGCTGAATTCAGAGATGTCTAAAGACTAAGCTCTTTAGGAAAATTGAATGGGAAAAGCTTAAGTTTCCAGTTAGGATTTATTCCTTTCTCATGACATGGGCATGTTTCCTGATTTGGTATGTGGTTGCAAGTCTGTTGAATAAAATTGTTCCTTCACTTGACTGCTTTACTGAGGCATGCAATCTTTATAATATTCCTGAAGACCACTGCTATTTATGGGTATCATGTAAGAATCTTTTTTCCAGAAAGGGTGTGTCTACATGTCGCCATATGGCGATGCTGCAACAGTGCAGTACTTCTACAAGGCAGTACTAAAGCACAGCACAGTACAGGCAGGTGCTGAACCACACGCGTGGTGCATGGGTAGATTTTTACCACTATGTCGCTGTAGCTGCTGATCATGTGTAGACACACGATAGCTATGTTGCTGTAGTGTGCCATATGGTGACATAGCTCATCACTACATTGCCATAGGGCGATGTGTAGACATGTCTAAAGGGAATCAACAAGTTTCCTACCTGAAGGAGGATGCAGAATTGTTTTGGGACTGTCAAGTCTTAAATAAAAAAAAAAATGTCTAAGTATCTGTTCCAAGTGGGCATACTGTGTAAGGAGAAACATATTACATTTACTAAGACTTTTGAAGTTTATAATGTGTATTATAATTATTACAATACTGATCAGCAAACAGTTTCTTATTTAAAAAGAATAAACTAAAATAAGATAAAAAATGCACGTTTTTAAAATAAATGGAATTTAAACAAACAATATCCAAGTCTAGTCTCTAGCAATATTGGACCAAATTCTTCACATAGATTATACCATCAAAGACCATCCATTTCAAATCACACAAGTAAACTGGGCTCATAAATATTTGGATTAAAAACCATTTTGCAGTCTTAGGAAATAGGTAGATAACAAAAGAAATGCACAGGACTACATGACTGCAAAAGTAAGAGAACATTTCCTCCTTTTCTCCCTGTCCCCAAATTTATAGACAACACCAATTTCCTAATCCCACTAGTCTTCCACATTTTGTACATACTTTTAATCCTGACCTAGCCATCTCTTCCTCCTAACCCTTCATTCCAGCCCCACTTTGTTAAAAATGTTAAGGGTTCAACAGCCTTGGATGCTGCTCTATACTCAATGATTCAAAAACTGTGAGCATACTAGTAAAAATGCTGCTTTCCGCAACAGAGACATTTGGGATGAATGTTCACTCATAATGCAAAGCAGTCTCTTGTATTCCTGATGGCCCATTCTCAAGTAGATAAGCAATCTAATGCAGAGCCATCTTCACTCCCAACTATAATTTAGACCAAGGCTGTAACTAGCAGTTTGTGGGATAATCTGCAGCCCCAAGGCTCTCACTCAGCTGCCATTCCCACCATCATTCTGGCTGCAGCAGTAGCCAGGGTCTCTGGGCTCCCCCTCCCTCCTCTGGCTTCTGTAACACAGACCACAGTGCCAGGGGGAGTCCACGTTATGGTGCACCAGAGACATGCCTAGTTGTACAGTATGCGATCTAGGGGAACCATGGCTTACATTAGTGCAGCCCATTTAGAAGCTGGCCACCCCTAGAGCAACATTAATTAGGCCACAAGTGTCCATTAACTTTGATCAATTAATGTGGGCTACCTAGGATCCGATTGTCAGAGTACTTCACATTAGACAGCCCTTTATATGTTTGAAGTCCAGCTCCTATTAATTTCAGTGTTACACTATGACAAATCAGGTCCCTAGAGCAGTGGTCTCCAAACTTTTTTGATCACGCACCCCTATCAGTAAAAAATTTTTGAGCACGCACCCCCAATATATGTATATTTATATAAATAGAAGTTCTAATATTTTCTTCCCACACCCCAATGGATTGTCTTGCGCACCCCACTTTGGAGACTGCTGCACTAGAGCAGCATTTCTCAACCCATGAGTTGTGACCCAAAAGCAGGTCACAAGACTATACGAAAGGGTCCAGAGCTCCAGCCTGCAAAGGGTTGCTTAGCACCCCTGATACCTCACACAACACCCCCTGGCCCATGCTCGAGAGGACCTACACCAGGGGCAGGAAAATATGGCCCACAGGCTGGATCTGACCCACCAGGCCATTCTGTCCGGCCAGCGGGGCCCATAAACAATTTAGAAAATTAATATTTATCAGCTCCTGGCTACCTGTCAAAGATGACAGGAGCCAGGGGGAGTAGGACTCAGGGGGAGCTGGCAGCAGGACACAGCAGCCCAGCCCAGCCCAATCCCACCCCCAGTCATTTCACTCTCTTCTTGCTCCTGCACTGCTCCAGCACCATATGGCTCCCGGCTGCATTGCTGGACCGTGGAGCATGGGGCTGCACCGGTATCCCGGGGTGGGTGGGTGTGTGTCTGTTGGGAGGGAGTGTGTGCGTTTGTAGGGTGAATCCCACATGCACCATACACACCCCACCATACACACACACTTGCACACCCCCTTGCATTGCCATACATGCTGACCCTCACACATGCCCCAGCCACCCTCCCCCCAAACCCCATACCCACCCACATGCCCCCACACCCTCCTTTATACCCTCCCTCACAACATACAAGAATAAGACTTCATTTTAAGCTATTATAATCACCTCTATACACACAAACACATGTAAACCAGTACAAAAATATTTTCTGAAATTAATGAATGTGGTAGATGTTCGCTTTTTAGAATATAATTTGGTATTTTTCTGGTTCTGAGATGGCAAAACCCCTTGCTGAAAGAAGTACTTCTGGGGGCTAGGGGAGGGACTTCTGGTGGCAAAGGTCAGGGGTTAGGGGTGGGACTTCCAGTCACAAGATGGTGACCAGGGGGCAGGGCACCTGTCAAGGGGCGGGGCTACCCATGAAGCCCTCAACAGTTTGCCAGAACTCAGTAAATGGTCCTCCACCCGAAATGGAGGGCCCCGACCTAGACCTTCAAGCCAAACACTCCAAAAAAGGAGGAACACAAAGATTTGTCTACATCACACAATTCAGCGCAGTACAGACATCTAACATAGCTCTGAAAATGAGCTTTGGTATAAGTTATGTTAGTATGGTGCTTTGCCCAAAGTAATTTTTGATCTGCAATCCCTTGGCTCATTCACTATACAACTTCCAACCTCTTCAACAAATGAAGGAGGAGTCCTATATACTGTCATCTTCACTACACAATCCTGATTCATCTCCAAAACATCCTGTGCCCTGAATGAGGCAGAAGCCCTGGGGAAAAATAGGATAATTATAATTAAAGGGTATAACATAATACCTGTGCATGAAAGAGGGATTATAACATACAGGCAAACTTAGTTCTGATATTTCCTGATTTGTTAAAGTACCTTATTCTGCAACCTTAACATTTTAGCTTAGTTTTGTGCGTGTATGAAATTTCCTAACTTAAAAGAAATGAAAACAACACGTTTCATAAGGCACCAGCAAAATTATAGCCAGGCTTGGAACCTTTAGATTTTCTGAGCAAACCTAAGCTAATAAAGAACCGATAGCAACAGTGGGATGGCATCCTTTGTACTAGCCAACTCTATAGGGCAGCTTCACTCTCCTCCAAGCTATGCACACTGCCCATCTGTAATATGCACAGCCTTTTGCCTGGCTTTTCATGTGCAGCATGGATGCTCTGGTTCCACTGCTATGCATGCAGCTTGAGTATCCCAGCCCCCTATCACTGTGCCACCCTGTCCCTAGAAGCAGGGTCATGAAGTAGAAGCTGGAGGAGTGTGGGGAAACCCAAAGAACCCGGCAGTTGCAAGAAGAGTAGCAGTGCAGTGGGGGCAGCTGGGTGGAAGCCTGCAAGCTGCGTGCTAACCTTTTGGGGGCCATTTGCAGCCCACAGGCCACCTGTTAGACAACCCTGATTTAAATCACTTTTCCAAATACAGCAACAATAAAACCAGTGTTGAAAGCATGTGCATTTCATCCATCCATTAATAGTTGTTCTGTATGTACTCTAAAATATCTCTGACACTAGAGCTAGTGTGTTTGCTGAAATAACTTGTTTCACTTTCACAAAAGAAATGGAAGAACATTTGAAGGATGAAGGTGAGAAAGAAGCAGACATGGTTCACTTGGGCCATGACTCAGCTCTTCACAACTAATCATGCTAACATTACAACATGGCTTGTACAATGTATGAGTTCCAGTTCCTGAAGATAAGCAGTAGGCTAGTAATGAACCTACATGATCACTAGTTTTGAGTACAATGTCCCTATCAGAGTTTTCATCTACTCTATGAGGCTTCTGTCTCTCTTCCTGATTCTGATTGCACAAGGAAGTTGTTCACTTCCTGTGCATTACTGAGTGTGTTGATTCATACTCCAATTGGCACTGAATACCCAGATCAAGAGAGAAATGAAGTATGAAAACTGTTCATGTTATGTACAAGATTTCTGTTTGTTTTATAGCCTGGAAAAAAAGAATAAGGAACTACCTCGTATAACATGTTATAATGGATACATAATTTGTATGAGACACAAAGATTATTTGTAATATCTTTTACTGAACCAAGTATAGAGTTGGGAGAGCTGTTGGACAACCTTTCAGGCATGGGCGATCTTCTTTGGCCTTTGGTTATTTGTTTAAATAGCGAGGGATATACACTGCTTCTGTATATAAAGGATATTTTAATATTTTATGAATCATCTTACTTGCACCTTAAATTACTCAAAGTACCAATAAATTGTGATTTCATTCTGCAAGGCTTA